GAAAGAGCTTAAAGTCCCTGATAACCACGATGGGGTAGTCACTGACCTTGAGCCAGACATCCTGGAATGTGAAGTCAAATGGACCTTAGGAAGTCTGAGCAACAACAAAGCTAGTGGAGGCGACAGTATTCCAGTTGAGCTATTCAAAATCCTAAAAGATGATGCAGTAAAAGTGCTACACTCAATATGCCAGCAAATTTGGAAAACTCAGCAGTGGCCACAGGATTGGAAAAGGTCAGTTTACATTCCGATCCCAAAGAAGGGCAATGCCAAAGAATGTTCAAACTACCGCACCATTGCACTCATTTCACACGCTAGCAAAGTGATGCTCAAAATCCTACAAGCTAGGCTCCAGCAGTATGTGGACCGAGAACTACCAGAAGTACAGGCAGGATTTCGAAGAGGCAGAGGAACTAGAGATCAAATGGCAAACATACGCTGGATCATGGAGAAAGCTAGGGAGTTCCAGAAAAACATCTAGTTCTGCTTCACTGACTATGCTAAAGCCTTTGATTGTGTGGATCACAACAAATTGTGGCAAGTTCTTAAAGAGATGGGAGTCCCTGACCATCTTATTTGTCTTTTGAGAAACCTATATGCGGGTCAAGAAGCAACAGTGAGAACTGGACACGGAACCACTGATTGAGAAAGGAGTTTGGCAAGGCTGTATACTGTCGCCCTGCCTATTTAACTTATATGCAGAGCACATCATGAGAAAGGCGGGGCTAGATGAATCACAGATGGAATTAAGATTGCTGGGAGAAATATCAACAACCTCAGATATGCAGATGATACCACTCTCATGGCAGAAAGTGAAGAGGAACTAAAGAGCCTCTTGATGCGGGTGAAGGAGGAGAGTGCAAAAGTTGGCTTGAAACTCAACATTATGAAAACTAAGATAATGGCATCTGGTCCTCTCACTTCCTGGCAGATAGATGGGGAAGAAATGGCAGTAGTGACAGATTTTATTTTCCTGGGCTCCAAGATCACCGCAGACGGGGACTGCAGCCCAGAAATTAAAAGAGGCTTGCTCCTGGGGAGGAAAGCTATGGCAAATCTAGACAGCATACTAAAAAGCAGAGACATCACTCTGCCAACAAAAGTGCATATAGTCAAGGCTATGGTTTTCCCAGTTGCAATGTATGGCTGTGAAAGCTGGACCATAAGAAAGGCTGAACGCAAAAGGATTGAGGCCTTTGAATTGTGGTGCTGGAAGAGACTCCTGCGAGTCCCTTGGACCGCAAGGCGATCAAAACGGTCAGTCCTAGAGAGATCAACCCTGACTGCTCTTTAGAAGGCCAGATACTGAAGATGAAACTCAAATACTTTGGCCACCTAATGAGAAGGAAGGACTCCCTGGAGAAGAGTCTAATGCTGGGAACAATAGATGGCGAAAGAAGAAGGGGACAGCACAGGATGAGGTGGTTAGATGGAGTCACTGAAGCAGTTGGTGTGAGCTTGGGTGGACTCCGGGAGATGGTGGAGGACAGGAGGGCCTGGAGGAATGTTGTCCATGGGGTTGCAATGGGTCGGACACGACTTCGCGACGACAACAACAACAAGGTATTTTCCTCCATCTGCACTCAAGCTGTCTCCTTTTTTATCACTCTCAGCTCTGAACTATACCACTAAGCCATAAGAGCTCTATTACAGAAAAGGCACTTAGGAGTGATCATGTCAACTGTCCAGGATATTTCTGTGTTCCAGTATTCAAGCTGGGTGTTAGCAGCCAGTAAACCCCCTAGTTCCGCCTAGAAACTATGAATCTATCAGCCTCTGGGAGAAGACCATCCTAATAGGTCTTTCACTCTTGTCAAGGGAAAAACTTCTGTCAATGGTGATCTAACAGATGGTGATCTGACCTTCACAAAGGGAGTAAATCAAAGTCCCCCAGCTTCAGATCATAATTCTAATGCACAACTGAAATAAACCATCTAGGGCATGGGTCCTCAAACTACGGCCCAGGGGCCAGATCCGGCCCGCCATGTCCATTTGAACTCACCGTGCCCGCGCCCACACATGCGCCCCCTGCCACCCATCTCCCCCCATGCGTGGGGAGGCAGCGGTTTGCTCATTCAGAGAAAATGATCTCCAAGCAAGCAAGCCGCTGCCTCATGCGCCTGCCTCGCGGAGCGTGCCCGCCCCCGCCTCCCCTCCCCTCACTGCACGCGCCCACCTGCACCTTGCCTCACCTTGTTACCCGCCCACACCTCAGTGCTCGCGCCTGCATGCACCACCCCTGCCCCGGCCCGTGAGCACTGCCGGCTCCACCTTTTCGGCCCACACCCAGCACCGGCAGCTTTCAACTGGCCCCCTAGTGAAAAAGTTTGAGGACCCCTGATCTAGAGTGTGCCCCTGTACTGAACAGGTGTCATGTTGGAACAGTCCCATACTCATCATGGAGTTGCTTCAGACAAGTTGGTTCAGTCCCATCATGGAGTTGCTTCAGCCTGCAGCATGAATGTTGACATCCCCCAAACCCAACAACCTGGGAGATTTCAGCTTCACATCTGAAACCACCTCTATGAGCTCAGCTAAAGAATCAATTGAGCAGCAGAGTTGGTAGTTCACCAAAAGAATCCCTAATCTGTACCACTGACGCAATGCAAGACACAGCTACTCAAAACTGGTGGTCACATGGACAGGAACTCTACAGAGATAGATTTAATCCTTGTAGACGATAGCAGTTCTCAGTCCCTGGACCTCAAGTCTACCCTGATGCTGAACAAAGTACCCTGGTGATCACAAATGAGATGGACTAATTCCACCCTGTCTGTCCACCTACCTCTAAGGCAGGGGTCTCAAACTCGCGGCCCGCGGGCCAATTGCCGGGACGGGCGGGGCACAGGGGAGGGGCCCTGTGGCCTTCAAAGCGCCAGCGGCGCCCGGGTCAGCCTCCGGGAGCAACGCAGGATGAGCGGCCCACCACCACCGCAGTGGTGGAATACTTGATGCGGCCCAGCCTCACCCAGACTCTACTTCCAGCGGCCCCCAGGTAAGTTGAGTTTGAGACCCCGGCTCTAAGGTATTACATGCTTGATTAGCTCCTTCATCCATGGTTAGATCATGAATGACAGAGGTCTTGTTCTGCACCCATGTGACATTTAAAAGCAGTACATGAAGATCCAAGGGCAGGCTGCTAGGGCAGACTTTAAGAGCTTTTGTCCCAGGCCTACCCGCAGCAATCACTATGTACACAGAAATCTTAAAGGTGTTTTTGAATGTGCTACCAGTCAAAAGATACTGTGCAGCTACATTATCAAGTGTATATTTATCCATGAAACTCACACAACTGCATTTCACTAAATGTTTTATTTGGTTGGGAGACATTTCCCTGGGTATGCATTTTATTTGGTCGGGAGACATTTCCCTGGGTATGCACAGAAAAAGTATGGCCTCACATCAGGAGCAAAGGAGCAAACATACATATTGTGTTTTACAAGTGTCAAACATACTTTTAATGTGAAATAGTTTGTATGGAAGGGCTCTTTCAACTTCAATATCTCAGAAAACCAGATGCTAAAGGGGAAAAACCCCAAATGCATAATTATGTTAAACTTGAATTCATCCATGAAGGTAATTTTCTGTTGCTTTTTCAACAGAGAATTGTTTTTTTTTTAAAGTCTCCTGTCAATTCTTTGCATGTAAGATGATACTGACACATTTAGCAAGTGCCACTCTAAGTGCTTCTGCAAGAATGCATATGTGAAAGAAATACAGCTTTAAATGTGTGTTGTATCACTTTTTTAAAAAAAGGTTATGATACTCTTCAATTTTTGTGTGTCAGAAATTATTTTTTATAGTCCGTTCCTATTTTTTCCTTTGAGCTTACACACTTGGGATTGGCTATAACCTTTCTTTATACCAATGAGAAGTGTCACTTTCATAGTTTGGATTGCTGTTATTATCCCCCTCCCTCTGTTGCCAACAACAAAAACTTCATCTCACTCGTTTCGCGGAAGAGCTGAAGTGTGGGGATGTGTCCAGAAATGACTTTTAGCCTGCTAGTTGGCTGGCTTCATTCATTAATTTTACAAGCGTTCCAAGCAATGTAGTCTTCCACTGATAACCACCCCACATTTGTAACCCCAAGACACATCCTTCCCCCTACACACACCCCAGATAAAGAGGAAAACATGGCATAGCTGTGCGATCCTTTTGCCTGATATTGCTAAGATCCTTGAAAGCAGAAGCACTCTGGGACAGCACAGTAGGAAGCTAGGATGGTTCCAGGTCAGTCTTTTAGTGTGCCATTGCCGTGCCTCTTTCACATAATTTTATGGGCAGTCTAAACGCATCATCTTGCACTTGTAACCTTCCTACATTTTTCCATCATGGCCTTTGTGTGTTTAATTATCGCAGACTATCCGTTAAATAAAGGCAATCACTGCACAAGCTGTCCTATTGTTAGCAGTAAAACCTCTCCGTCTGGGAAAGACGCTGCGTTTTCCTATCTGCCGTCTTTTCTCTTATTGCAGCAAATCGGTTAAGAGGGAAAGAGGTCAGAACTGTAGCCTAGCGCCTTCTTGTGTGTGTCCCCTCTGTCTGGAAGGCCCCTTTTAATTATCCCTTCTGCTAATTAAGGCGCTTAAAATGCCGTGTGCTTTGTGGGCACTGTTCCTCTGAAGAGATCTCTTGTCCGCCTTCTGCTCATCCATCCCGCATTAACATCATTCACAAGCGACGCTTATGCCACCCGCAACTAAAAACGATCCTGATACTACTTTGGAAAACGCCCTAACGTCGCTATTATTCTTCTCCAGTGGCCGCTAAACTCAGATTGCCGCGCTTGAACTGCAGAAATCAGGACTCCAGCGCCACGCCCTTCTGGAGCAGCTCGCAGTCCAGGCTTTAGGGCCCGCGCCGCCCCCGCTCCTGGGGTGTGGCGCGCCGAGTATGAAACCCCGCCCACCGCCGAATTTGCGGATTTCGGGCTCGTGGTTAAGCGTCTAAAGCCCCGCCCCAGGAAGCCCGCGGCAGCCAATGAGAGAAACGTGTGTGGCAAGGGTGTGAGGGTGATGGCGTTCGCCGCGCGAGGCGGGCGAAGGGAGGAAAGCCGAGAAGTCGCGAGCGGGCAAAAGAGTGGGCGCGCGGCAAGGGTGTTGTCGTCGACGAGCGAAGTGGCGCTCTGAGGTGAGGGCGCGACTGAGAGCGGGGGAAAGAGCGGACTACGGGCGGCGGGGCGGGGGCGATCCGGTGTGCCCTCGACGGCGACCTGCAGAGGTCGGGAGCTAGCGCCTTCTCTTTCTCTGGGGGCCGAGCTGGGGGCCTGTACGAATAGTCCCTTCGCTTCTCGCCATCCTTGTCCCGGTGGGCTCCGTAGGATTTGCAGCTTTGGACGCGGTGGAGTAGGTCGGTCGCGGGTGGATTTAGTGAAAATCTGGACCTTTGCTCGGGATGAAGCAAAACAAAAAACGACAGTTTGTTTCGTCCCCTTTGCTCCCTCGGGCGGGGCGGGGCAGGGCGGGGCGAAGCGAACTGAACTGGGTCCTTTCCTGATCAATGTCGAATGGGGTCTCTTGTGCCTGGTGGTCGCGTACTCGCAGTACTAAGATTGGGCGGTGTTTCAGAAACGTGCCGTGCGTTTCGGAGCTTTGTCGTCCCATTTTCGTAGGTGTTCTGCTGGAGGGATGTGTTTTTTTTTGTTTAACATCCAGGTGGTTTCTGAATTCGAGCGCTTTGAACCGTTTCGGTATCTCCCTAACTTGCTAGTAGATAAAGACATGTTGCTCTTTCCTGATGGTGGCTTTTAACAAACCTGGCGCATGCGGCTGTCGTTCTGATAGCTTTGGTGCAAGTACGTCGGCTTTTTCAAGTTTCAAATTGTATGCTTGATGTTTTTAGTTGTAATGAGGAGCCCACATAGTCAGCTTAACAGTTTTAGCATTTAGAGGTTTGTCTGTGCGAGTTTGATGATCATCTAAATGCTCCATAAGTTATAGGTAACCTACAAGGGCAATACTTTAGTGTGGGATCTTACACTGTGAAACCTGCTTGTATATGTATGTTCTCTGGGAAGTTGTGCTCAGTATGTTCAGTGACTTACATGATGATCTGTTTATGAACTTTTCATATAAGAAATTTGCAGTGTGTGAAATACGCTGGAATGATTGTTCAGGCTGTAGCTTTTCTTTGTATCTTGTTTTAGTACTGTAGAGCTAAATTGGAACTAAGGGGAAAGGAGTAACAAAAAAAGCTCAACGTTCACTTTCTCTTGTATTGCTCCTCACCCACTGAGTTTGTAGATCGATAGTATATTTGAATTACAGAGGAGTGAAATTAACTGACTGGCTGATTCTCTGTATCGCTTACAAGTGCCATGCGCACAGTATCTGTGCCTGGCACTTGAAACATCTTTTTTTTTTTTACCAAGTGAAGCACATTTCTTTGAGCTTATTCAGGTACCTTGTGGAATACTATTTTAATGTGGGCTCCAAAAAAAAAAAAAAATCTGAAACTGCACTTGTATGACTGCTTGTGAGTAAGTCTCATCAAACTGTATTCTAAGGTACATAAGTTTGAATGGCAAGACATAGTTTTCATCTTTTTTGCACTGATATATTTTTAATGTAGTAAAAATCAAGTGGCTATGTATAGTAGTCTCTCCTCATGCTTTTTATATGAATTTGCCCTGTCCTGTAGGCTCTGGGTGGATTCCAGTATTTCATACTCAAAATAATAGACTCTGCTGCAGCTCTAACAGCATTATATCCCATGACTAACCACCTGAACACGATTGGATATCCCTATGTAATCCCTATGTAATATATCCCTGGAGCTCAATCCAGAAAATATAGGAATGAAAGCTGGTAGATAGGGTCTTAAATTGTGGAATCGATTAAACATTTTACTCTAGGTGGGATTGTACCCCACCTTGAAGGAGCATGCCTGCAACTTGGGGATACTTGTGGATCCAGGACCTTCATCTGGTGTGCCAGCTCAGCCATCTCTTTCATGATTGGGATTTTACCCCCATCATCCATATAAGATTGGTTACTTGAATATTTCTGGGTTCACATATTGTTAGTCTTGCCCTGTTAAAGTGCAGCAAGGCTTAATACCTACATATTTGAAGAAATGTCTCCTTCCATATGTTCTACATTGTGCTCCTTGTGTGTTTTTCTTAAGCTATTCTGTACCCTCTATTGATTTAGGATACATTTTCATTGACAGATACAGTCCTCTCGGATCTGCCTGTGATATCTGAGAACAGTTCATCTTGTGCTGTTGTTTCTTGATCCCTTCTTCCTCAGTCTTGTGAATGGGTGGCACAAAAAAGACATGCATCGGTTTTCATAGCATTTTGGTCTGTAGCAGTTGCATGCACTTCACTGAAGACTGCAGCAATGGAATATACAAGTATTTACTATTTAAATAAAACAGTTTATTTTAGCTGAAGGACTTTGATTCTGTCTTAGCTAATGATTTGGAATCTTGGTTACTGATTTCTGCATTTATCAGAAGACTCAGGACAGGTAGCAGTTAAATACACTTACTCAAATTACAGTTGTTTGGAATCAGCACTATAGCTCACTCTTGTGTATATGCAGTGCCCTTGTTCAAATTAATAGACTTTTGTGTTTTCTCCAGAAGAAAGACTTGTGCTTAATAGACCTCTGAAAGAATTAAGGCAGCATGACATTTACCAAGTGTGCTTTTCTTCAAGTCCTTGTAGACTAGATGTGGAAGGGACTGCTTAAGAAGCTGCTCAGATGACTAGAAATGATGAGGCAAACTTTAATATCTTACATAATTTCATTTAGTTTATTGCTTTCTTCAGCATTTACACTGCAATATTAATTATGGTCACAATTTTATTATGCTAGTGCCCCACAAGTGTTACGCCTAATGGATAACAAACAACTGGTTGTGACCTAGTTCTTGCATTGCAGGTGCTGCCAAGTTACTAGTTTTCATACCTATCTTACTTTACAGACAAAAATCTCTACTAAATAGGCAACAGCTGAAAGCTTACTAAATCAAAGGTAGGAAAACCTGGCCCCTCATATGTTGTTGGATTCCAGCTCCCATCATTACAGAGCAATGATATATGTGGCTGATGGGAGTTGGAGTCCAATGACATTTGGAGTTTGTGCATCTATTGGTATTAATTCCCATTTGGAGCAATATTTGTAAATTATGGTGGCATTGGTTAACCTAAATCCATGATTACGTAAAGAAGGATTTTACCTGTATTCCTAAACTGCCCTTTGCTTGTTATACTAATTGCTGTAAGCTGTCCTGAGATATTATATATAAAGGACGGCATAGAAAAGTTTTAAATAAATACTGTTTACCTGCAAAAGTGGCATATCAGGTTATCTGAAACAAAATGCAGTTTACTGAGAGAAGTGTGTTTTGGTTGAGAACTGCTTATACTCATTTATTCTAGTTGTTAGCCATTTTCATTTATAAAATAGATAGGGATCTGTTCGTAGCATTCTTATTCTTTCTCTTCTATATACTTGCTACTTCATTCTGCAAGACACCCATTTCTCTCATTCATGTTCCCCCACAAACCATCACATCCTTTCCGGTTTACACACAAATACATTTATCTATGCATGTATATGAACAGCACATGCATATATTCACACAGCTCTTTCCACAGCAGAGTAGGTAGCTGTTACAGTATTGTCTCTTCCATTCCTTTCCAGTGGTGGCTGCAAAGGAGCAGAGGGAAGGGCTTGGTGGGTGTCTGGGGTACTTAGTTGGGGAGTCTCTCCTGTGGGTCACCAAGGGCTGCATGCAGCCCCCAGATTGGCTGTAGTTTTGCTACTTACTTGCTGATGTTAGCATTTAATCTGATCATATATTCTTAATACTGCATTATATTCATACCCTGCCTTTCTTCCTCTTGTGCAGTTCTCCTTCTCTCTGTTTTACCATCACAGCAATTAAGCTAGACTGCAGCTCCATGACTGGCCCAAATTCACCCAGTGAGCTTCATGGTTTAGTGGGAACAAGAACCCAAATCCCCACTCTAGTATTCTTAATTACTAAACCAACTGGCTTTCATGTATAAATTTGTACTTACTGTTCATCACTCTGATAAGACTTTGGTTTTACTGTAACATTTAGAGTACAACCCTAACCCCTAGCAGGAAGCATCAAAGCAGGCTGATTTTTGTTGGCTGAACAGCAGCTTAGACCTCTGCAGAGTGTATGATCTTTAGACCCATTATCTACATTACCCTGGGGTTGATGTAGCAAAAATGAAAAAAGTTCCCACCTCCTTCCTTGGCTAATGGAAGCCAGCAGGGTTTAGGACACACTGATACATTACTTTTCTCTGCCTGCTTTTCACTGTGGATTGTGATTCCCACCTTCAAGAAGGATAATTGTACTATGGTGCATGTTATGTTATTTCTAACGCCCTTGAATTGGGTATTGGGATTGAAATGGTGTTTAAACCTGAAGCATACATTTATACCCCAAATATGTATATCAAGCTTCCTTTCAATATCTTGGTGTTCAGTGGAGTCTTTAATGGTGTAAATGTATAACTAGTTGAAAGCTGGATAGGTGTTAGGACAAAACTCTCACTTGGTTTGGCTATTGAGTGAAAAGCGCTACAGAACTGCTTTATTCATGGGCACAAAAATATTTTGAGAGCTAGGGACTAGCATCACTTTTTTGTTCTCGTGGATAATGTGCTTATTTACAAAATAAATAAAAGTGTATTATGTTCTAAAAGCATTTAATTTTTATTTTCCTCTTTTAGGTCATTGGATTATTACTTGACAGTATAATATGGGGGAGATAGAAGGCACATACCGAGTGTTGCAGACTCCAGGTTCTCGTTTGGGAGTGCAGAAAAATTCTGGAGTTAGTACTCTGGAACCAGGACAGAACCTTTCCTCTGCCATAGCATCAGCACCTGCTAAAACTCATGAAAGATCTCTACAGATCAAGATAAAGCTTTTGGACAACACTGTGGAGGTACTTGATATTGAGGTAAGTTTTCACTAAAACCTTGGATATAATGTTTCTTTTCATAGAAATCTAACTTTATGCAGAAGGGATTTGGGAGGGTGGAACAAATGCATACCATGCAGGAATCTTCAAATTGAATCAGTCAGATGGTTTATTTAATTATTGTATCTCTATAATCTTATACATGAGAGTGAAAATGATAGACTACCACCATGTTTAAACATGTGTACTTCACTATATATTCTGTATGTGGCCATGTAAACAGGAGTGCTGGAGACAGGGCTCACTGTATCCTAGGAGGATCCCATCCCTGTTAGGTGTCCCTGCTGTGGAGCTGATGTTGGTAGAATTCAAGATTGGGAAGAGATACTGTTTTCTGTTCATCTTTTCAGTCTGTCTAACAGTAAGGCAATCGTGAGAAGAGACAATATGGTGTGTCTCTCCCTTCTTTTACCCCTGTTGGAAATTACATCATTTCTCTTTGCAAAGACTGGAAGAGAGTGCATTGGTATGCGGCATAGGCTTAAGAGGGAGTATATTCCTTAGTGAAGGTCAGTTGAGCATCTGTTCTTGTCCAGGCACAACTGCCATGTACTCATTAATATAAAGTCTGTAGTCATAAATATAAAGATGGGTGGGCAGCACTGGAGGGTTTGGGGGATGCTTCTGCCCAGCATTACTGCTGGTGATACAGGGTTCCTGGGCCCACATGCTGCCCACTTCTTATAAAAGGGATAGAAATTCACATGTATTTGGGAATGTTCACATTCACATGCATCTGGAAATACTTTTGGGAATGTTCTGATTGAATGTGGTCTATCATTTCTCTTGGAGAAGCAAGGTGATAGTAGAGGTAATAATACTTCCCATTGAGGAGTTATTCTTAATGTCAAAGAGCAGATTCCTCCCTCCCCATGTTTATACACATTCTTTTTTAAGAAACAGAGGTTAACTCTTAACTTTAAATTTGTGTACCATGCCTTTTATGACAAAGGCCATCAATTGCTGCTTGGTGACATTCCCTTGCACATTTCACCTAAGTAGCATCTGCCTGATGTTACTGATAGAAGATCTAATCTAACTTCAATTTTAGTTTTGCAATCAAAAAGTGCAAATTTTATCTTGAATGTGTGACTCTTGAAACAATTATTTCTCACATCAGGTGCTTCCCAAATCTGTCATTTGATGTAGGTTGTTTGGTTGGCTTGTATACCAAAGAACACCTCCACTACTTTGATGAAGATTAGTTACCTGGATTTTCAGATGTGCTGTGGTGGAGAAAGAACATCCTGTTTGTGTTCTGTAACTGTATCTTGAGTGGATTTTTCTCTCCCCGCCCACCTCTTCTCTTCTTGGTTTAAGGGCTCTGAAATCACTAACTCTGATTAAAATAAACCCCAATTATATTCCTAAAATCACTTTTAACACCTAGGTACAATATGCTTCCTAAGTAGTATTTGGTAAGGCCAAGAGTAAAGGACGGGGTTCTTTAGAGGTGACCATTTTATACCTGCATTCCAAAATAGTGAGATGATGTCAAGTGTCCAAGTGCCTCATGCGAATAGTTGAAAAGGGTGTCTTCCCTGCACGTGAAAAGCATGGGAAAAATTCTAGAGTTGTTTAAAAGATATTGGGTATTATGACTGTTTTTATTGGTTACTTTTTTCATAATTGCCAAAGCACTGTACTTCAGGTTTATTAAATATACTGGCTTGGATCCAGTCTTGGCCCTCTGCAAATGGAGGAACTTTCTGTTTGTGGATAGAATCTAGGATCTAGCAGAGGATTTCAGTTAGAGAAAGTGGGTAAGGTGACAATTTTTTTTCCAGTTCCCTCTAACATTGCAGCCTCTAAAATAATCTCTGCTGCTATTCCAGAGGCTCCTGCAACCCTCCAGAATTGCTACTGCTTCTCCTTTCTCCAGAACCAGTGGAAGTCCACTGAGTACAAGCTTCGATGCAGCTTACTGTTCAGTATTTGAAGTATGGATAACATGTTGTAGTTTTTCTGGCTTGTCACAGGAAATTCTCAATAGGAGGTCCTTATCTCACAAGCAAAGGAATAAAAGCAAACTTTAAAAAAGCATTTTCCTATTTCCTATTTTGAAATAAAATGTATAGATTTTATTATTGTGTCTGCAGGGTATTTTATGCAACCCCTCTCCTGCCCCTGTGTCTTCCTAGCTGATGTCATCTTAGGTCAGTATTTAGCTGTCAAATTTACTTGAAATCTTATCTGGATATAATTGAGCATGACTCACCACATTCTGAGGCCTAAAATCAGCAGTGTTGTGTTGAACCTTAGAGGATTTTTTAAATTGAGTTATAAAGGAAGTTATTTGGAAGTTTTACACTAGCCTGTTATTTCCTGTGGCTTTACAGTCAAATTCAGCTGCTAGCTAGAAAGAGATGTAAAAGACATGAATGCACAAACAAAATTGTGCCATTTGGCTTAAGCAGAAACAAGGTTTTCTGTTTGAAGGACCAGTAGGAGGGAAAAGATAGGAAAATAATTTTACCTACAGATTTACTTGGAAATCTTGTAGGAGGTGGTTGTGTCGGAAAATTCCTTTTTGACAGTATGTGCATACTGCATGTTTTGGAACGGTTTTTGGCAAATGCCCAGTGTTTCAGCTGCTCCCAAAGAAGGAAGGAAGCTAATTTTAAGCTTTATATTCTGGCAGAGACTATCTTTCTAAAATTCTAGTTCTTCATTTGTCATTCTTTTATTCTTCCCTTAGTTTTATTATTTCTCAAAACTCTTCCTGCAGTCTGAAAGTATTAATGGCTTTAAAAATACAGGGTCTGGGAGGGCAGGCTCTTTCAAATCCTATTATACATTTTACTACAAAGTTTCAAATGTTTTAAAGCATAGCCTGTGTCCCTTGCCTGAGAAGGAAAAAATAGACAAAATCCCAGAAAGAATCATTGCCAGATGTTTGTCATGACTCTGAATACTCTAAATATGGCCAGTAAACTGTCTTGAGCTTATTTTTATCTGCCCACAGAAGAGAGTTAGTAATTCATGGCTGTGGATATTACAGGTTCTTGCTGAAAAAGCTATTTTGGCTTTCCATTCTCCTGTTATTTGGTCTGCTGTATTGTTAAACCTGTTATTTTGTTATTTACCTAACTTTCCTTTGAAACAATTTTTGAGGACAACCATTTTGCCTCTGATGAAGTTCTTGTTATAACAAGTAGGATTTCGGCATCAGGTGGTGCTCTGCTTAATGAATGTTGCTTTTCATTGACAGATGAACTTCCTTGTTCCAGATTATTTCCTTTTAATGGATTCTTCAGTTTAATAATACTTGTTGTGTCTGGGTGATTAAATCTATTCTCTAATGAAGAGACATATTGCTCAATCCCCAATATTTTATCTATTGTGGTGTTCTTCCCCTTTAGTCTATTTGCATAAAATAAATGAAGATGTCTTATGATGTATTACCAAGCACTGAATGGCACTGGCAATCTAGGCTTTTTTACAAGAATTCCTCTAGCACAACATGCAGGTGCTAAAAACTGAACGTGGGAACTTTTGCATACAAAGCATTTGCCTGGTCAAACCTACAACCCTTCCTTTCTGTGCTTGCTTTCTGTTTGACAGCCTTAGCCCCTGGCATTTTATCACTAGTATAATTTGACGTGCAGGAATTAGGGTCTTGCTTCCCTTCAGGAATGCTAGTGGGAACACTTCAGTAATACGGAGCATTGTGCAAATGCAACTCAGATATCTAAATTCATAAAATAAGCTGTTTCAGTCTGTTGTTTGTTATGGATTATAGGCCTGCCAGGATAATTCTGTTTTGTTGAAGTTTGTGAAGTGCTATATGTATTTGGCTGAGCACTAAAATAAAATCATAGCCACTGTGCTACAGAGTGTTGTAGGATTATTTTGTCCTTGTTTTCTGTTGTACTCATCCTGTTGTTTAGCCAATTAGTGGCCTTTACCATGATTTGTGAATGAATCATGAAACAAAATAACGGTATTGTAGCAATGGAAGATTTTTTTGTTGAGGACTAATTTGCATGGGGCTAATGTCTAGGAAGTACTTTTGAATAGGTTCAAACTGTAAAGTTGATATTTTTTTCTTTAATTAGTTGATAGTGAGAAGGAAAGAAATGAAAAAGTCTATGAATGATATTATAATGTTAAATTAATTGCTGTTGGAATTCTAGAGTGGAAATGTCATCTGTAGTATCAGGCCAACACAAGAAAGTAGTTATCATGAAAATTGTTTGACTATATTAATTTCTAGGAAAAGTTGAATATCCCAGTAGTTGTCATAGTTAAGGGAGAACATCATTGGTAATATTCCTGATGGTGTCTATATATGCATGCTAGTGAATAAGTGTGTGCATGTTTCTGGCAGATACTGCCTTCAGGTTTTGATGTTTTTCAGAAGAATGGTTTTCCCACATTGGTTTTCCCAAATGTGGTGAAGCACTTGCCATGATGAGTTGTACATTTGGTTTTTCTGAGAACTTGTAACACAGCCTGGAAAGCCAAAGGGACTGGTTTGTTTAGAACTGTCATGATTCCGCAGTCCAGTAGTGAACTGGACATGGACTCAGAAGGAGAAGAACCATTGGTCCCCACAAAGGAGGTTCTGAGCACAAGCACCAGCATGAAATTGGAAACCCACAAATCCATGTCTCCTGAGTCTGGAAAAAGACCTGTTGACCAGAAGCCAAACTCCAGCACTGCCCTAGTACACTCTTTTCCAAGAGCTTCATATTTCATGGAACCAATGTGTAAGCTCTTACAATTTACCCAACATGAACTCTTGGAGATGTGGAGGGGTCCTAGACTTTAAGCCAGGTATTTGCCCTTTAAGGCGCCCATTTTGTGGGAAAGGAGTTGAGTGTGGGAGAAGGGTCTCTGAACTTGAGCATAAAAAACTTCAATCTGGGCTTACACCTTGTCAGAGCAAGCTGCTCCCCAAGAGCTTTCTTGGGTGCAACAGCAGCCCAGCTATTTATCTTTGAGCCTCACAGACTCTTGCTTAAAGCAGAACATGA